TAAAAACCCTAGAAGAAAACCTAGGCAATACCATTCAGGACATAGGCATGGGCAAGGACTTCATGACTAAAACACCAAAAGCAATGGCAACAAAAGCCAAAATAGATAAATGGGATCTAATTAAACTAAAGAGCCTCTGCACAGCAGAAGAAACGACCATCAGAGTGAACAGGCAACCTACAGAATGGGAGAAAATCTTTGCAGTCTACTCTCTGACAAAGGGCTAATATCCAGAATCTAGAAAGAACTTAAACAAATTTACAAGAAAAAAAAAACAAACAATCCCATCAAAAAGTGGGCAAAGGATATGAACAGACACTTCTCAAAAGAAGACATTTATGTAGCCAATAGACACATGAAAAAATGCTCATCATCACTGTTCATCAGAGAAATGCAAATCAAAACCGCAATGAGATACCATCTCACACCAGTTAGAATGGCAATCATTAAAAAGTCAGGAAACAACAGATGCTGGAGAGGATGTGGAGAAACAGGAAAGCTTTTACACTGTTGGTAGGACTGCAAACTAGTTCAACCATTGTAGAAGACAGTGTGGTGATTCCTCAAGGATCTAGAACTAGAAATACCATTTGATCCAACATCCCATTACTGGGCATATAGCCAAAGGATTATAAATCGTGCTACTAAAAAGACACATGCACATGTATGTTTATCGTGGCACTATTCACAATAGCAAAGACTTGGAACCAACTCAAATGTCCATCAATGATATACTGGATTAAGAAAATGTGGCACATATACACCATGGAATACTATGCAGCCATAAAAAAGGATAAGTCCATGTCCTTTGCAAGGGACTTGGATGCAGCTGGAAACCATCATTCTGAGCAAACTATCACAAGAACAGAAAACCAAACATTGCATGTTCTCACTCATAGGTGGGAATTGAACAATGAGAACACTTGGATACAGGAAGGGGAACGTCCCACCCTGGGGCCTGTTGTGGGAGGGATAGCATTAGGAGAAATACCTAATGTAAATGACAAGTTAATGGGTGCAGCAAACCAGCATGGCACATGTATACATATGTAAAAAATCTCCACATTGTGCACATGTACCCTAGAACTTAAAGTATAATAATTTTTTAAAAAGTCTCAGCAAGGTTTGAAGGATTGTTATCTCTTGCAGCTGCAAGCAATGCAGATTTCTTTTGCATGCAAGCAATGCAGTTTTGTTTTGTTTTGTTTTTTGCATCATAAACATATCCTTGCAACAATTATTTCTAACAAAAAAAATCTTGAAAGATTTTTCCTTCAAGTCTTTCACCCAGACTTCAAAGATGATTGTATGTCCTATTGTTACAGGACAGGGCTCAAGATCCAGACCCCCAAAAGAGGATTCTTGGATCTCGCACAAGAAAGAATTCAGGGTGAGTCCACAGTGCAAAGTAAAAGCACATTTATTAAGAAAGTAAAGAGGCAAAAGTACAACTACTCCATAGACAGAGTAGAATGTTCCTGAAAGTCAGGAGAGGAACGTGTCCACCCTAGGTACAATTGCTTGTATATATGGGGAGATGTCTTCTGCTACAAGGGTTTGTGATAACAGATTTCTTTTCTTTTTCTTTTTCTTTTCTTTCTTTCTTTTCTTTTTTTCTTTTTTCTTTTTTTTTTTTTTTTGATGAAGTCTCGTTTTGTTGCCTAGGCCGTAGTGAAGTGGCACAATCTTGGCTCACTGCAACCACTGCCCACAAAGTTCAAGTGATTCTCCTGCCTCAGCCTCCCAAGCAGCTCGGGTTACAGGTGCCCACTACCACGCACAGCTAATTTTTGTATTTTTAGTAAAGACAGGGTTTCACTATGTTGGGCAGGTTGGTTTTGAACTCCTGACTTCAGATGATCCACCACTTTGGCCTCCCAAAGTGCTGGGATTACAGGTGTGAGCCACCGGGCCCAATCCTGTTTTCTTCATTACTATATTTTGTAAGAATCAATATCATTATCTTTTGTTTTTTTTTGAGATGGAGTCTCACTCTGTTGCCCAGGCTGGTGTGCAGTGGCTCAATCATGGCTCACTGCAACCTCCACCTCCCGGGTTCAAGCAATTCTCCTGCCTCAGCCTCCCGAGTAGCTCAGACTACAGGTGCATACCACCACGCGCAGCTAATTTTGGTTTTTGTATTTTTAGTAGAGATGGGGTTCCACCATTTTGCCCAGGCTGCCCTCAAACTCCTGACCTCGTGATCCACCCACCTCGGCCTTCGAAAGTGCTAGGATTACAGGCATGAGCCACCACACCCGGGCAATATTATTATCTTTAAAGCAAAATTAGGAATGTCTTTGTTCTCCAGATATTGGGATATCTGTACATTCCCAAGTCTGGGTCTGTTTAGTAAACATTATGAATTTGTTCCTGTAACAGCAAACATCTATAGGTTAGGAAGGCCTAACTTCGTGAGAATGGAGCCTAACAATCTCAGCCTCATTTTCCTAGCGCTCATGCCAAATAGAGTCGCTCTGGTTCAAACGTCTCTGACACTGTGTGAAAATAAACCTTGGTCCTTATAACTGTAGTTCTAACTGGTAATCTTACTTACTAATGTCTTAATAATAGGTTGCCTTGGTAATAATATTGTAATTAATATTTCTGTTTCCTGGAAAATATAAATTATTATGCGTTTCCTTGCTTAAGGTGGAAGCTCTAAAATTTATTACATTGTTTACACGCGGCCAGAATTAATCCAAGCCCCTGTCAGCATTAATCATTTAATCCTCACAACAACTCTAGTTGTATTTTTCGGCATCCTTCCTATATCTACTATTCAGATAACTAGGATTCGTTAAACTTGAATTTTTTTTAGGGTAGTGATTTTGTATCATTATTTTCTTCATTTTGTATTTAGGGAATATAAAATCCTTCCTCCTGGTCTTCTGAGACTGGGGCTTCGGTCTGAGATGTCATTCGTAGTCATGGTACCTGTGGACTTTTGGACTTTTCTGATTTTTGTTTTTCTAATTCTTAATAGAATTAAGCCTTGGTATTCTCCTCTTCCACTTAAATTAATTGTAACATAAAAGAATGGAGGTCTCTTGGGCCTCTCAATCAGCCTGGTCGCACAAGGTTATTAGAGTAGTGCTACCATCTAATTTACTGTTCAACCCAGGCCATCGTAGACAATGAAAAGATGGGCCACTATTAAGCTTGGATAATCGACACTGATCGCATGCAAACCAGGACACGTAGTCACTTATAGGAGACTGTTGGAAAATCCCTTTAAGGCCTGGGGACTCTGATATCATGATGACAGGAAATCTTTCTTTTTCAGGAGAAACAAGTGAAAAGCACTGACTGCAGCTATTGTCTATTATTCTCAGCTTGGCACCATAAGAAACCGTGTGTACCTTCCCGGAAGGCAGAATACATTAAGTAACAAAGGAAGAGAACAGGCAAGGCTTGTCAAAGTCCCTGTGAGGAGTTCCTCTTGGTATCTAGAAATCATACTTGTTTTCTTGCTCTTTTTCCTACGAGTCAGTGTGTCACTCTGTCGCCCAGGCTAGAGTGCAGTGGCGCGATCATGGCTCACCATAGCCTCCAGCTCCCAGGCTCAAGCAGTCCTCCTGCCTCAGCCTCCTGAGCAGCTGGGACCACAGGTGCATGCTACCACACCCAGCTAATTAAAAATATATACATACACATATATAGTGCAGATGAGGTCTTGCTGTGTTTCCCAAGCTGGTTTTGAGTTCCTGGCCTCGAGTGATCCTTCTGCCTCAGCCTCCCAAAGTGCTGGTATTACAAGCATGAGCCACTGTCCCCACCCCACTTGCTTTCTAATAATTCTGTATTAGTCTGTTCTCATACTGCCATAAAGAAATGACTCAAACTGGGTACTTTATAAAGAAAAGAGGTTATATTGGTTCATGGTTCTTTAGGCTATACAGGAAGCACACTGGCTTCTGCTTCTGGGGAAGCCTCAGGAAACTTTCAATATGGCAGAAGGTAGAGGGGGAGTGAGGCATCTCACTTGGCAGGAGCAAGAGCAAAAGAGAGTAAGGGGGGAGGTACTGCACACTTTTAAATAACCAGATCTCAAGAGAACTTACTCACTATCACGACGACAGTACCAAGGGGGATGCTGTCAAACCTTTCATGAGAAACAGCCTCCATGATTCAATCACCTCCCTCTAGGCTCCACTCCCAACGTTGGGAATTACAACTGAACATGACATTTGGGTGAGGACACAGATCCAAACCATATCAATTTCTATGAAAGAAGAGAATGATTTGAATGAAATGAGAAAGTAGATTTCCAGCATTGAATGGTCCCAAAGGGAGTAAAATAATTGTGACAGGGTATGATCATTGGCCTGCAATTTCTGCCTGAAGAAGAGTAGGAAAAAGGAGGTCTGGACATCACATGCCTTGCTTTATGAAGCAGCTCCGCCAAGTACAAGGTGACCAGTGGCTGTGGATGGTTGACAACTCCCCTACTCTTCCCCCTCTTCTACTGTCTACTCCTGGGACAAAGTGAGCCACGCCAGCTCAGATACTACACTGACCACAGGGAACCTCACCTTTTCCATGGAATGGAAGTTGTGTAGGGAATATCCAAATGTTGCTTAGCATTGCCTTAGATAAGAACCAAAGGGACAGTGAAGCCCTCTGACAGCTATCTGCCCTATAACTTTCATCTTACTGTGCCTAAAATATGCTCAGAACCCAGAAAGAGGCATAATTCCTCATTTTGGCAGGCTCTAAATCTAAAATAATGATTCTCAAACATGGTGTAACTTGTGCCTGATTTGCTTTATCCTGGGTCACTGCTCCTTTTCTATCAGACACTGGGATTCCAGTGAGACAAATGGAAAGGGAGCCCTAGACCCTCTGACCTTCTATCTTTTATCTATACACATACACCTGTGTGTGTGTGTGTCTGTGTGTGTGTGTGTCTGTGTGTCTGTGTGTGTGTGTGTAAAACCGAGTGGGTTTTTTTTCTTGGAATGAAAGAATGGGACAACATTACAAAAAATAAAAACTTGAAACAGAATGTGTATTATCCTTGGTTGTGTTTCCTTGGCCCTGCAGCAGGATGAAGCTCTCCATTGGCATCATTTTCTGCTCCCTGGTACTGGGTATCAGCAGCCAACGATGGTTAACATTCCTCAAGGAAGCTGGCCAAGGTAAGGTCCACAGGATAGGGAGCAGGAAGCTGCTTCTGGCTGCCCCCAGAATTCAGCTGAGCAGAGGCCACACCCCCACTGGGCGAAGGTGCTAGTGATGCCACAGATGGATAGAGAAGGAGCATGGTTTTCCATAAGCGTGGTTCCTCATGCTTTTATGGCCAGCTTTGACACTCTTCTGTGAGGATCCCCCAGCCTGGGGCCGCATAAGGTGTGAGCTGCCTCTTTTCAGCAGGAGCGTGAGAGAGATGCGGAGTTCAGGGGGTGCATGTTCTCATAATATCGGTGGGGCTCTACTGCCCCCTAGTGGGGAATCTGGGACAGCTCATGTCTATGTCTCCTGGGAAGCCAGGAAGCAGGTAGATCAAACCTGCTTTGATCGTGTGAGGCGATCGTGTGAATCGTGTGAGGAGAGTCCACGGGGAAGCAGAATGGAGCCAACAGTCCCCATAAAAACAAACAAGCTTAGCTGAGATTTTAATACGTACTAGGCACTGTTTTAATTGTACTAATGAATTGGTTTCCATCATTTAGTCCTATGATGCAAGTAAACCCTTAACAGAGAAGCTCACACAAACACACACACACACACACACACACGCGCGCGCGCAACCCAAGATACCAAGCGAAGTTCCAAAGCAGAGCAGAATTTAACCCAGGCAGTCTTGCTCTGCAGACCTTGCTCTTAATCATGGTGCTCTGCTGCTTTCAAAACAAGAGTTCTGCATTTGTAAACACATAGCTCATCCTTTATCTAAGAAATGGCAAATAGGATGTGATGCCTTTGGAAGGTAAGTCTAGCTCCACTTATCCCAGTAAAAGATACAGTGAATTACCTTGATGGTGGTTCTGTTGGGGCTTATACGTGGCCAGAAAACTGCTAGCAAGAGAAATATAACCCAAGGCTGGGCGCAGTGGCTCACACCTGTAATCCCAGCACTTTGGGAGGCCGAGGTGGGTGGATCACCTGAGGTCAAGAGTTCGAGACCAGGCTGGCAAATATGGTGAAACCCTGTCTCTACTAAAAATACAAAAATTAGCCGGGCGTGGTGGCATGCGTCTATAATCCCAGCTACTTGGGAGGCTGAGGGAGAAGAATTGTTTGAACTCGCGAGGTGGGGGTTGCAGTGAGCCGAGATCACACCACTGCACTCCAGCCTAGGAGACAGAGCAAAACTCCATCGAGACAGAGAGAGAGAGAGAAATATATCCCACTAGCCACAATAAAGTGGCAAAATTTTGTTTTCAGAATGCAGTATTTTAAATTTCAGATATTATTATTTTTCTGAGCGTCTGAAAAATGGTTTTAAGGATTTGCTTTTAATCCTATTTACATGTTCACACACTCAACTACAAATATCTTTCATTCCTTAGGTTAATATTTTTCAAAGGGTTGTTCTGGGACCACTTGCCTGAGACTCACCTGGCGTCTGAGATGCTTTGTGAAATGAAATGAAGATTCCTGGATCCATACCCTACCCCCGCCGCCCCCAGCAGCCATAGTCTCTTGGGATAGAGCCTAGAAATCTTGCCTTTACCAAGCACCTCAGTAGATTTTTATACACAGTAAGGGCTGAGAACCACTACCTCTTGTTTTGCTGCCCAAAGTGATAAAATGTGCCAGGAATTTTTGAAGTACTTATTAAGCCAACCTGAACATCAAGGAGCCATTTAAGTTAGTAACTCAGAAGAATGAGTCGAGTAAAATGTTATAAACTCTGAATAACAGCAATCAATTTAACACTAGGAATAATAAATGCATAAAATGAAGATGAATTATCTCATAGGGAAATTATATAAGTCATGATTGTAACTCTACATTTGAGTTCCCCCTTTTCCGTAATCAGTTAATTTTTAAAAAAATATTCGTCACTTAATTCTAGCTTGATCAGATCCCTTCGGTCCATAACTCCCTGCTCCTGATCTTAGTTTAGCCCTTCTTTATTCTTAAGCCACCTTTCCTAAGGACCAGAGAAGTGAAATGATAATATATTGACCACCTACAATGTTCTAGGCATCATACATGCATTTTCTCTGTTCTTCTGCATAATCACTCTGAGGCAGGCAATACTCCTCCATTTCACTGGGGAGGACACCGAGGTTCTGAACTAGTGGGTCAGTTGTCCTTTTTCTGAATTTGATTACCCAGTTGTATAAAGCTTTCTTAAATAACTCACCTTTATCACTTGTTGACTGAATTCTGACAGATGTCAGTTTCTAAATATAGCCTGAACATTCAGATGTACTCAGGACCAAGTTGTCCTCACTCTAACTACAGGCATGAATTTCTCCCATTGACTAGATTAGGAGTGCTGTATGTCTGCAGCCTCCCTTACAATTCCCTGTGTTCTCACACCTTGGTCTAAGGATTCCCTGGGTCCTTCCAGGAAGAAGTTCATTGTACAATGAAACATCCCTTAAGGCCCATTTAATCTCTTCTTTAGGTGCATCACACATGGTTAAAAACAAAGTAATAACAGAACTTTGAATGGAATCATACAGAATGAAACTTACACCAAGTACAATTCTCATTACATTAACCCAGGGAAGTGAAAAGTAGAAGAATATTTATTCCAAGCCAGTATAATTTCGGAGGGCTTTGTTAAAGGCTGAAATCTTCGGGAAGAAATTAGTGAGAAGAAAATTGTTCATTCCTCTATTTTCCCAGACATAATTGTTTTGATCATTTTCTTTCCTTTCCAGGGTCTCCGGACATGTGGAGAGCCTACTCTGACATGAAAGAAGCCAATTACAAAAATTCAGAAAAATACTTCCATGCTTGGGGGAACTACGACGCTGTACAAAGGGGGCCTGGGGGTGTCTGGGCTGCAGAAGTGATCAAGTAATGCACATTCCTGATGTTGCCGGGGATGAGTGAGCAGAGCTTGCCTGCCTTGGACAGTCAGGAGAGAGGCAAGCTCCTTGTAGAGAAGTTAGAGGCTGCAGACCCTCCTCCTCTTGCACTCTGTTTGCCTCTGTGCTTAGTGCAAGGGTCTGAGTGGATGATAGGAGTGAGTGATTCCTCACTCTCCGTCTCTGGGTGCTGTTCATCCAGCCTAGGGGAGCCCAGCCTGGCTGAGTGGGGCGGTGCCCAGGCAGGGTCAGTGTTTTCACCACCACTTCCTTGGCCTTTCTGGGCTTCTCCCAGAGTCCTCCCTTGGAAAGCGGAGAATGGGAAGGTGGGCTGTTGCTCACTGGCCTGGTGATTAATCTCTTTGCTTGCCTGGACTGTAGCAATGCCAGAGAGAATGTCCAGAGACTGACAGGAGACCGTAAGGAGGACTCGCTGGCTGGCCATGCTACCAACAAATGGGGCCAGAGTGGCAAAGACCCCAATCACTTCTGACCTGCTGGCCTGCCTGAGAAATACTGAGCTTCCTCTTCACTCTGCTCTCAGGAGACCTGGCTGTGAGCCCTGAGGGCAGGGACGTTTGTTGACCTACAGTTACTGAATTCTATATCCCTAGTACTTGATACAGAACACATAAAAATGCTTAATAAATGCTTGTGAAATCCAGTTTGTTACTGGAATCTGGAAGCAGAATATAACAGTTTTCCTGGGATCATGGGCCTGTTTAGTACCACAGGGATGACCAATAAACATCACTGTTTCATGTTTTAAAACATAAGGCACTAATGCACAGTAGTGGGAATTGGGGAGAAAACTATATCTAAACATGGGCCACATTGTATGGACCATAATATGGACCAACTATAAGCCTATAATTATATGGTTCATAAAATAGAAAGATAGTAAGAGAATCCTATGAACAACTTCAGCAATGAAGTCTAAAACTAAATTAAAAATCAACAAATCATAGAAAAATACAATTTACAAATACTGACTAAAGAACAAATGAAAATCTAGATTAGCCTGTAATTATTTTAAGAGATTGAATTTTCTTACAAAGTAAACAGCAGGCCCAGATGGTTTCGTAGACAAATAGTACGCCTTCAAAAAGGTAAATAAGGGCCGGACATGGTGACTCATGCCTGTAATCCTAACACTTTGGGAGGTTGAGGTGGGAGGATTGCTTGAAGCCAGGAGTTTGAGACCAGCCTGGGCAGCATAGGAAGACCCCCATCTCTAGGAAACAAAAAACAAACAAACAAACAAAAAACAGCCAGGTGTGGTTATGTGCACCTATCATCCCAGTTGCTTGGGAAGCTGAAGCCAGAGGATAGCTTGAGCCCAGGAACTCAAGGTTGCAGTGAGCTATGATCACACCGCTGCACTCCAGCCCAGGTAACAGAGCAAGACCTTGTCTCTAAAAAGAAAGAAAAGAAGAAAGGAAAAAATGAAGAAAGGAAAAAGAAAGTTAGAAAGAAGGAAAGAAAGAAATCAAATAAAAATGCAAAAAAAGCAAAAGTACCTGGAGTTACAATGAATTGGCCCCAGCAGTGACCATCTCCAGGTTCACTACGTAGCCTGAGGCTATCCCTTTCATAATCCCAGAAAATTCTGGATTCTTGGAGAAGGGTGTTCTCAGACACTCCACATAGTTTATTTCCCAAGTTGGACCCTCTCTCCTGGGTCTTGCTGGCACAAGTATCTCTGGTTACAGTGGACTGTTTCTAGGCCCCTCTATGTCCAGGCCTCCTTTCTGCCCAGTCAGCTGTGTCCCTTCTTCTTTTCTTCCCCCCAGGAATCTGGATTCCTCAGTGTTCTCTTTCCCTGCCACGGAGGCATAATCCCAGGAATCTTTCCCCACTTCATTTGCCAAACCCAGTGTCAACCAGTCCCTGTCCATGGTACTAAGAAATACCTTTCAAAGCTATTTCTCTTCTCTTTGCCTACTCCTTGGTTCGTGCCAGGGTAAAATGTCATCTTCTCAGTGAATCAGATCTGTCAGCTCCTAAATCCTTACCCTGGGGTAATAATGAATGCCTCTGTAGCACTTTGTTCATGCCTTCTTGAGAATCCAGGTTCATCCTTGTCAGAGTCAGTGGTTAATATGGCAGTCCTCCTGCTGGTTGATTTTCAAGCTCCTCTAAACTAGTCAATGGCAGTGAAAGAAAGTGTGCTCATGATAAAAGTGGTAGAATGACAGTTACTATTCATGATGCAGTGACCAGGGGCCAGGCACTGGTCTAAGTGCTTTCTTGTGTTATCCACTGGATCCTCATACTTTAATTATCCTTATTTTAGAGCTCAGGAAACTTGAGGCACAGACAATTTAAATAACATACACAAGTTGCATTGCTAGTTTGATGCTAGAGTCAACATTCTTAACCATTTGCTCTAACTAGCAATTGCATTGGAGTTTAGAACTTATAAAACACACTTGCAAATGAGGTCATGTAATCACTCCTCCTATGAATGTATTCCATGAACTACCCTAGTTACTAATCTATGAATCTCATATCAAATCTGTATGTGTGGGGAGCAATAAGGAGCTGAGAAAAAACAAGCAAGATGGAGGAGGTTGCCTCACTACTCAAGGGAGCTGTGGAGAGGCGTCTCCAGCGATACAGGTGGTATATGTGAAGAATCCACAACACACACACACACAGAATCAGCTTTGAACACCTGCTGGGTCCAAAGAACATGAAACTATCTTATGAAAACACCAGTCAAGTAAGCATTTTCCTTTCCCTCTCCTCTCACTTCCAATCCTTCCCTGCTAATCGGGGAGAGGTCAGAAAGAGCAGCTGTCTATCTGTGCGAGGAGAAAGGGGGGAGAGAAACAAAGTCATCACCCCCCTCCAGACTGAAGTACCCCTCTATAGTGGGTTGAACTAGGAAAGGGGAGAGAAATTTTCATTTTAAATGAATTGTAAGCTTCAAATCATGACTTGGACCTGGGCTTTCTAGTTACCATTTTGAGATAAACTAAAGGCCACCAAACCCATGACTTTAAATTACTACCTATGTAACACTGTTTTCTTGTTTTGTTTTGTTGTTTGAGACAGAGTCTTGCTCTGTTGCCCAGGCTGGAGTGCAGTGGCATGATCACCACTCACTGCAGTCTCAACTTCTTGGGCCCAAACTACCCTCCCACCTCAGCCTCCCGAGGAGCTGTGACTACAGGTGCTGCCCACCACACCTGGCTAATTAAAAACTATATATAGTTGTAGAGACAGGGTCTTACTATGTTGCCCAGGTTGGTCTTCAACTCCTGGGCTCAAGTGATCCTCCCACCTCAGCCTCCCCAAATGCTGGGATTACAGGCATGAGAGACCGTACCTGGCCTGTATAGTACTTTCAATAACCTTTGAGTAACTAGGGAAGGTATGAATTGACTTGTGTTCAGGATCAAAGTGAGAGACACTGGGGACACACACACACAAAAAAAGAAAAAAAAACTGATTTCTGGTTATAAAATGTAATTCTGTTTCATTAGCACACTGAGGACATACGAGACTCTGTAATAACTAAGGATTATTATTAATCCAATTCTCTGCACCTGAGATCCAAAGAGAAAAGAAAAAAAAAAAACTCACGACGCCTAGCTGTGAGTATCAGACGCAAATAAAAGTTGAGAAGACATTGGGAGGTTATCTCAGCAATGTCAACAACTTATAAATGAATTTTAGACTAGCCTCTTCTTTTTTTTTGAGACAGGATCTCACTCTGTCGCCCAGGCTGGAGTGCAGCGGTGCGATTTCAGCTCACTGCAACATCCACCTCCGAGGCTCAAGTCATCTTCCCAGCTGGGAATACAGGTGTGTGCAACCACACCTGGCAAATTTTCATATTTTTTGTACAGACCAGGTTTCTCCATGTTTTCCAGGCTGGTCTTGAACTCCTGACCTCAAGTGATCAGCCCACCTCAGCCTCCCAAAGTGCTAGGATTATAGGCATGAGTCATCACGCCCAGTCCAGGCCTCTTTTTTTAAAAACTCATTTTTACTTTTTTAAGAATAAAACGAATAATATACCACAAGTATATGTCAAAATTTAGCATAAATTATATAGCATAAACCAGCAAGTATTGAACTGAGGACTTACATCAATATGATGGTTGGCAAACATAACCTATATGTGTGTATATAATAAAAGAAATGAGCTGGGTGTGGTGGCTCATGCCTGTAATCTTAACGCTTTGGGAGGCTGAGGTGGGAGGATCACTTGAGATCAGGAGTTGGAGACCAGCCTGAGCAACATAGGGTGACCCTCTGTCTCCAAAAAGGTAACTGTCTGCAAGCCTGGCTGCTGAAACTGCCTCTTGTAAACGGAGACCAGTTTTATCTAACAGCTGCTGAAACAACCTACTGTACCTCTAAGACTAATTTTACCTGCTGCCATCTCTCACCAATCCTAGCTTGCAAGCTCCCCCAAACCTTACTAAAACCAATAAAATTTCTTTCAAAATAATGTGTAACACTTCTCCTTTTTATAAAACCCCCAACCTTCTCTTTGTTCTCCCTATATATCGAAGACAACCACCTGTCTCATCTGTGTGTATGCCGTGAATTGCAATTCTTACTTCCTACATAAAATGCTTTAAGTTTAGAGATTCACCTCTATGTTTTATTTGACTTTGACATAAGTATCACAGTAATTCTAGGCAAACATTGGACACCTTCATTATGTTTTCTAATATAGTTATGACTGAGTATTTAAAATATTCAGGTGGACATTATTTTATTTTAAATAATTGCATGTCTCCATTCCTGTTTGGACATTATATTGATATTTTTGAAATTTCATCTGGAAGTAGGTTATATCATCTATAAATTTAATTCCATTAAATCAAAGTGGATAGTTGTAAATCAATTCCATCATAGGTAATTTGTTTGGTTTAATGTTTATGATTCTTATGGAGAAAATAAACAATGCAATCATTTAAAAAGTGTTTTTCATTTACCTTTGCATAGGTGCTTAAAATACATATTTCTGTTTCAAGATGACACTGAAAAATTATTCTAATATAACAGCAGCAAAAATATAATTCTACAATTATAAAAGTGCAAAACTGAAATTCATAATGAAGATTTTCTCATGTTTACAATTATGGTTATTTAATAAATACTAATACTATGCAGGTCTGTTGTAAGATTTCTAGATTTGGTTTAAACACATGCACACAATACTGCCAGTTGTGGGAGGCTTTACAAGTTATATTTCATGCACTTTTTTGAAAGAGTTCTAAAAGAGTCAGCCAGTCCACAAGACAGACAGAAAAAAGTTAAATTAACTGGAGTAAATTGGACTCTTAACATTTAAAGCATGCAAGATTCTGCAGCAAACTGGGAGTACTTCGGGATTGGCCTGCTATCTTCTTTAGTATTAGTTTTATCTTAACAGTTTAACAATTTGAACATTTTAACACCATCAAGTTCATTTAGGTGACGTGTTTCTTGTGTGTTTACTTGACTCCCCTGAATGATCTAGTTAGTGAACTAGAGTCACTAATGATTTGGTCACAAGGCAAATCAAGCCTACACGAAAGGAAGTGAAAACTCAAAATATCATAGTATCATCTGAATCTACTCAAATAATTTATTTTCAATATAAACATGTAACTTCAATAATGAGATGACTCATTAATGAGTCAAGCTCCTCCAACAAGACAACGACAACATCTCTTCTTCTAAGGTTTAGGTTTTGCACAGAAATCCGGATACATGGAACAGCCCATACCAACAGTCATTGCTCCTACAACAAAGCTGAACTGCCACAAGCATGTGGATCAGGTGATGTGATATTTTAGTATTTCCCCTGCTCTTCAATTTGTATAATCCATATGCAGCAACTACTGCAAAACCTGCCGTTCCAATGGGGACAAATGGTGCCTCTTTAGCTTTACGAATCAGTTTGGATCCCTGGAATCCCTTACAAGTCATCCAGCTTCGCCCACGGATATTTTTAGGAATGGCAACGGTGACCAGAGATCAGAGGATTGTAGGAACAGAGGGCGAATAGAATAAGTTCGCTAGCTTTGAGATTCACATCTGTTCCTGAGGCTTTCTCCCTGCCGCCACCCTTCTTTTTTCAATCAGGCTAAGAGCTCCTGGAGAAATGGAACACCTGATTCAGTGAGGGTGACGAATAATTATGAGTATGTTCGTGCCTGGGTCCTGGGTAGAATGGGGTGGGTGAGGTCAAGCCATCTTGGCTGGTTGGCCAAGCTCCGAACAGCAGGGGGCGCTGTAGGGGGAGTCCCGCCGGGTGCGCCGGGCGCTCTGGCACTGGGGTGCCGGTCGTCTCCTCCGCAGCTTCCGGCACGGCCTTCGAGCGCGGGACGCGGCAAAGTCATGGATCGCAATCCCTCGCCGCCGCCCCCGGGTTGCGACCAGGAGGAGGAGGAGGTGGCAGGTGGAGACTGCATAGGGAGCACGGTTTACAGCAAACACTGGCTCTTCGGCGTCCTCAGCGGACTCATCCAGGTGTGGAAACTCGCGCCACGCGTGGGCTCTCCCCACATCCCCCAGGCACCCGGGCTCCGCCTCTGGCGGCTCCTCCTGCCCCGGGAGCCGCCATCCCCACGAAGACCCCTCCCCAGGCGTGCGCTGTGGGACCTCGCTCGTTGCGTTTCGCCGGCCGCTGCGGACCCCAGAACTATCTGGGGCCCCTCCGGGTCTCTCGACACAAAGGGAAGTATAATGTTAGGGATGCTGGAATACTTGCGGTTCTATTTTAGTTTCTCAAGTTCTCCAAAAATACACGATCGTGTAACTGCATTGCTCGGGTTTTGCTCCCCATCCCCACTGTCATTTCTGAAGCCCAGGTCCTTAGTTTATATATTTCATGGACTATAGTTGTAATAGAATAAATGGTGATTTTAGGGTTATACAACTTTTATATAAAAAACGTGGCTTCTGACTAGGCGCGATGGGTCACGTCTGTAATCCCAACACTTTGGGAGGCCGAGGCGGAAGGATCGCTTGAGCCAGGAGTTCGAGACCAGCCTGGGCAACATAGAACTGGTTTCTACAAACTTATAAAAAGCCGGTCGTGATGGTGCACACCTGTAGTCCCAGCTACTCAGGAGGCTGAGGCTGGAGGATCGTTTGAGCCTGGAGTTGGAGGCTGCAGTGAGCTGTGATCCAGCTACTGCACTCCAGGCTGGGGGACAGAGGGAGACCCTGTCTCAAAAAAACAAAAAACACAGCTTCATTACCCACTAGCTGCAGGTCACCTAACGGCTCAGAACCTCTATTTCTCTCTTAATTTCTATAAAATGGGATTATAATATTTATATTATTATATATAGGGTTATTGTGTAGGTTAAGTGAGATTATAATGGCCATAGAGTGCTTAGCATGGTGTTTGACTTATAGGAGGCTGTCAGTAAATGTGAGTTTTCTTCTCCCCATGTTTCCCTCATTGGTTCCTCTGCTTCTCTTCTCTATCCTCTCCAGTTAATTTTCTACACAGGTGCCAGAATAATCTTTAAAGACAGCGCTATTCATGACACTGCTTAGTTCCCTTTGCATAGGAGAAAAATGCATATTTCTTGAAGCTTGGGATCCAGGGCTGTTTGTACATTTTCCAGCCTCATCTTCTCGTGTGATACACTGTGTTCCATCAACAGCGAACTGTTCACCATCCCCAAACATGATGCTAGGCCCTCTCTCAACTCTGAACTCTTGTAGTTTCCTCTGAATACTCACTTCTCTCCTTCTTCACATGACAAACTACTATTCTTCCTTTAAAATTTAGCTTAAATATCAACACCTAAGAGAAAGTTCCCCATCTTCTCCCAGGAATAGGTCATTGGTCCATCATTCTTGCTACCACAACTTTTCGTCCACAATTCATTTGAATCACTTTGCCTTTTTTTTTTTTTCTTTTTTTTTTTTTTTTGAGACAGAGTCTCGCTCTGTCGCCCAGGCTGGAGTGCAGTGGCCGGATCTCAGCTCACTGCAAGCTCCGCCTCCCGGGTTTACGCCATTCTCCTGCCTCAGCCTCCCCAGTAGCTGGGACTACAGGTGCCCGCCACCTCGCCTGGCTAGTTTTTTGTATTTTTTTAGTAGAGACGGGGTTTCATCGTGTTAGCCAGGATGGTTTCGATTTCCTGACCTCGTGATCCGCCGGTCTCGGCCTCCCAAAGTGCTGGGATTACAGGCTTGAGCCACCACGCCCTGCCCACTTTGCCTTTTCTAATATGACTATCCCTTTACATGTCTTTCCCCACTAGATCCTAAAAGTTAAAAAAAAAAAAAAAAATCTTAAAAGTAAGGGATTAATATCTAACTCGTCTTTGTATATCTACCCCAGTGCCTAGCAACAGTATTTACTTTGTGAATGTTGAAAGAATAGATCTACCCAAGGCACTGAGTTTTTAAAAGAAGATTTTTGCAAGAGAAGATACTTTGCTGGTAGCTTCTTTGTGTCTTCTAAACAATTATGGGTTATTATTAAAGTAAGTCCTCACTTAACATCAGTAGGTTCTTGGAAATTGTGACTTTAAGCAGAATTACTGATAATGAAACCAATTTTACATAGCTAATTGATATAAACAAGAGTTAAGTTCCTGTGGCATATTTCTGGACACAAGAACATCACCAAACTTCTAAATGAGGACCCAAAACACGTCTAGTATTAAATATTGAGATAAATGTGAGCTATAAATACATTTAAGAAAGGTTAATAAAAACAAGATAACTATTTACCTAATTTTGGTGAGTTAGTGAGTGATGGTGGTTGTAGTGATTATCACTACAACTTTTATTGTTTGATTATGTTAAATCAAGGAATAAATGTTTACAAAGCAAAAATGACCACCTCTTACTACTGTACAGTCCAAAAACAATAACAAATAAGGCAGGCTTACTGAGCACGTTCCTACCACATAATTATTGTCGTACATCTCCATGATTATTGTCTTCTTTACAGATTTTTATTTTATAATAATTTGTATTCATCCATTTCCCAACCCACTTGCTCTGGTTCAGGGTTGAGGGTGGCTGGAGCCTAAACCAGCAGCTCAAGGTGCAAGGCAGAAACCAGCCCTGGACAGGATGCCATCCCATCACAGGTACACACACCCACACTCACTCAGATCGGGACCATTTAGACACACCACTTATGCTGATGTGCAAATTTGGGGGATGTGGGAGGAAACTGAAGTATCTGGAACAGACTCACGCACACATGGGAAGAACATGCAAACTCCACACAGACGGTGGCCCTGGCCAGGAATCAAGTATTTTTTTTCTCATCAGCGTTACAAAGGAAATGTTATTCGATCACCTGCTGTATTTGGGTGCCTGGTTAGTATTGTAGACAACTTTTATTCATGTTTTCTTTCTTTGTGTTTCTGAAGATTGTTAGCCCTGAAAACACCAAATCTAGCTCAGATGATGAGGAGCAGCAGACGGAGCTTGATGAAGAAATGGAGAATGAAATTTGCAGAGTATGGGATATGTCAATGGATGAGGTATGAGGCTGGAAACAAAACTCTAAAAAGACTGTTGGGTGAGGAGATGGTGGATGGATGTTTTAAAAACGGTTCAGTCCTTCACTCTGGGGAAAGGCTTTATCTCCTGTCTGTAATCACACTCATATATGATACAGGGAATGAGATCCTATGAGCTATAGTGCTAAACTTCTGTCTTTGAGGCTGGAGGATCTGAGCTCTCAATAGATTCGGACTAAATACATAGCTCTTATGAATGTATTCCTACATACATGGAGGCCAGGAAAGTTCTGATACTTACCTACCTAAAGAGAACTCTGGCCATATATTTGAGAGCAGGTTAGGAGTTAGAAGACCACTAATATACCATGATAGTATTAGAAGGAAAGGACAATAAATAATATGTCTATAGCTGCAATATTAATCATTGTTTTAATATCTGTATTTTATTCTATAGCTCAAAAGCATTTTCATGTATAGTATTCTATTTGATCTTCACAATAACTCTGTGATGTAGGTAGTACTCTTATTTTACAGTTAAGAAAATAGAGGCCAAAAGAGATTAAATGGCCTATGTGATCTCTCTTGTTTTAGTGCCTGGACTTTTGCGGTAGCTTCCTAATTAAAATCCTTGTTTTAGTCTCTTTCACCTCCCTTCTGTCCTCTACATTGCCACCCCTGTTACCTTTTTTTCCAGAAATACGTACTTAATTGTACTCATTTTCTTAAAAATTGTCAATGGCTATTCATTGTTTCAGTCATTTTATTTAAAACTTTACTGAGGTATAATTAACACACGAAAAAACTGCCTATTGTTTTGAAGTATCATTGACACCGATAATTTTTTTTTTGGAGATGGAGTCTCTATCACCCAGGCGGGAGTGCAGTGGTGCGATCTCAGCTCACTGCAACCTCCGCCTCCAGGGCTCAAGTGATTCTCCTGCCATGGCCTCCGGAGTAGCTGGGAGTACAGGCATGCACCACCAATCCCGGTGAATTTTTGTATTTTTGGTAGAGACAGGGTTTCACCCTGTTGGCAAGGCTAGTCTCGAACTGCTGACCTCAAATGATCTACCCGCCTTGGCCTCCTAAAGTGCTGGGATTATAGGTGTGCGTCACCGCACCCAGCCAATAAACTTTGACAATGTGTACGCAGATGAAACTGTCACTGTAATCGGGATAGAGAGCGTATCCATCACCCCTAAAAGTTTCTTTATGGTCCTTGGTCGTTTCTTCCTCTTGCCTCTCCCTTCCTCCATCCTCTCCAGGCAACCGCTGATCTGCTTTCTGTCACTACAGATTAGTGTGTATTCTAGAGTTTTATATAAATGTGCTCACTTTCTTTTTTTGGTCTGGCTCTTTTATGCAGCGTAATTTTGAGAATCATCCATGTTGTGTATATCAATGGCTTATTTTTTTTTATTGCTGAATCGTGTTCCATTATCTGTATATACCACAATTTATTTTTTACCTGTTGAATGTTGGAGTTGTTTAAGGTTTATTACAGATAAAGCTGTTGTGAACTTTTGTATACAAGTGTGTATGGACATATACTTTTCTTTTCCTTGGATGAATACCTAGAGTGGTGTATTAGTCCATTCTCACGCTGCTATAGGGAAATACCTGAGACTGGGTAATTTATAAAGGAAAGAAGTTTAATTGACTCTCAGTTCAGCATGGCTGGGGAGGCCTCAGGAAACTTACAATCATGGCAGAAGGGGAAGGGGAAGCAAGCACCTTCTTCACATGGTGGCAGGAAGGAGAAGTGTGAGTAGGGGAAATGCCAGATGCTTATAAAACTATCAGATCTCATGAGACTCACTTATTATCATGAGAGCAGCATGGGGGAAACCGCCCCCATGATTCACTTACCTCCACCTAGTCTTGCCCTTGATACATGGGGACAATGGGGATTGCAAATCAAGGTGAGATTTAGCAGGAAACACAGAGCCAAACCATATCAAGTGGCCTGACTGGATCATATGGTAAGTGTATGCTTAACTTTTTAAGAAACTTTCAAATTGTTTTCCTAAACAGTTTTTACCGTTTTACATAACCACAAGCAGTGTGTGAGACATAATTCCAGGTCCAGTTTCTCGTCATCCTCATCAACACTTAGTATGGTCAGTCTTCTTAATTTTAGCCATGCTAATAAGTGTGTAGTGATAGCTCATTGTGATTATAATTTGGACTTCCTTAATTCCTAATGATGAGTATCTTTTCATGTGTTTATTTGTACTCTGTGTATCTTTTTTGGTGACGTACCTGTTTGAATCTTCTGCCTGTTTTTTAATTATGTTGTTTTCTTACATTTTCTTCTAAAAGTTTTATAATTTTAGGTTTTACATAGAAGTCTGTGATCCATTTTGAGTTGATTTTTGTATAGTGCATAGTGCAAGGATGGGTTGAAGTTTATTTTTTTGCCTATGGATATTCAGTTGTTCTAGTTCATTTGTTGAAAAGATGATCCTTTCTCCACTAATTGCTTTTGCATGTTTGTCAAAAATCTGTTGTCCACATACTTCATACTTTGAAATCTTTCTTTTTAAAGATAGACATCTAGCACTGTAAAATTTTCCCTAAATATTTATGCTTTACCAGTATTCCACAAATTCTGATATGCTGTGTTTACAATTTTTTTTGAGACAGAGTCTTGCTGTGTACTTTTTGTAGAGATGGAGTTTTGCCATGTTGGCCAGGCTGGTCTTGAACTCCTGGCCTCAAGTGATCTGCCTGCCCCGGCCTCCCAAAGTACTGGGATTACAGGCATGAGCCACCATGCCCACAGAAGTTCAGAATACTTTCTAATATTCTTTACTTTTTCTTTGGTTCATACATAAGATTCAAATATTTGGGAATGTTTCAGTTACCTTTCTGTTGCTATGGTCGTTGAACACTGAATCCTTTTAAATGTGTTGAGACTTGTTTTATAGCCCAGAATATGGTCTGTCTTTACCAGTCTATCTTTGTCTTTACTTTGTCTTTACTATCACTTAAAAGACATGTTCACTTAAAAGACATGTTCACTTAAAAAGCATGTGTGTTCTGCTGTTGTTGGGTCGAGTATCTTATTACCAATGTCAGATCAGGTTGGTTGAGAGTATTGTTCAGATGTACTTTCTGTTTGCTCTACAATTATTGATAAATTATGGTTACATTTTTTAAAAAAGAAATAAAACCTGTGTTTTAAATGAACTCTTAGGGTGAAAATCTCAGTTTTAAAATTGAGAAAACAGTGCTGCTGTTTGAAGGAGGTTATTGGTGCGGGGCGAAGTCATGTTCTTTGGCCTCCTTTTGCTCCCTTACAAGAGGTGCCCTTGAGGCACCGTTCAGAACTAAGCTCTCCACTGACCGTTGAAGTCCCTGGTGCAAAGTCTAGTGAGTTTATATCTCAGCCTTGTCTCTTATTGCTCTGTAACCACGAATTCAGTGTGTGAGGACCAGAGACCTCCAGATAGATACTCCCTGCACTTTCACGTGTCCATGGGTACTATTCATGCCTCTCTGTTTAGAATGGCTTCCAGCTGGCAAAATCCTTCTCACTGTTTATGGCCCAGCTTCAGTGTCACCTCCTCTGTGATGCCACCCCAGACACTCCAGTCAGAATTAACCTCTCTTATTTCAGTGTTCCCACAGAATTGCTTCACTCTGTTACATGTGTCCTCTGATGGATTTAAATTCTTTCTCATCAAAGCACAATGTCACCCCTTCTGAAATACCTTCTTCAATGTCATGTCTAAAGTAGCCGCCTTTATCTGGGTTTCTAGCACATACTATCTTATTTTCTTTGTAGCATTTAGAAATTGTATAGTTCAGTTGTTTATATATTTATTGTTTGTTCATTTCTTTAGAAAGAAAATTCTTTGGGACTGAGTCCTTATTTAGCTTGTTCACTGATGTGTTCCCAGAACCTAAAACAGTGCCTATTAGGTTTTTCAGAAAATATTTGGGGAGTAGTGAATGAATAGATGAATACCTGAGAGGTAGCATGTTGTGGTGGTTAAGAACATAGTCTCGCCGGGCACAGTGGCTCAAGCCTGTAATCCCAGCACTTTGGGAGGCCGAGACGGGTGGATCACGAGGTCAGGAGATCGAGACCATCCTGGCTAACATGGTGAAACACCGTCTCTACTAAAAAAAAATACAAAAAACTAGCCAGGCGAGGTGGCGGGCGCCTGTAGTCCCAGCTACTGGGGAGGCTGAGGCAGGAGAATGGCGTAAACCCGGGAGGCGGAGCTTGCAGTGAGCTGAGATCCGGCCACTGCACTCCAGCCTGGGTGAAAAGCGAGACTCCGTCTCAAAAAAAAAACATAGTCTCGCTGGGTACTTGCCTATATTCCCAGTTATTTGGAAGGCTGAGGCAGGAGGATCACTTGAGCCCAGTAGTTGGAGGCTACAGTGAGTTATGATAATGCCTATGAATCTGTGAATAGCCACTGCTGCAGTATGGACAGGATAGCAAGACCCCCATCTCTTTTAAAAAGCAAGACCATAGGCTCAAGTCAGACTCATGTGGGTTCAAATCCTAGCTTTGCTCTACTGAGACTGTATAATCTTGGGCAGGTTGCTGAGCTTTTTAAACTTCAGTTTGCTTATGAGTGTAATGGGACTAATAATGTTAACTAGTTGATAGAGTTGTTTTGAGAATTAAATGAGATAGCATGCAAACCACTTCACTGTGCCTGGCATTTAATACTTGTTCAATGAATGTTAATTTTATTACTGTTGGTATTGATATTGTTAGGCCACCCTTGTGCTACTCCAGGAATTACCATTAAATTTAAAATTTTCTGCATGTGACAAAGAATTGCCCACAGGACAGATAGCTTGATCACTTACAGTGAAGAGAATCTGCTGTTTTGACTTTCAGTTTAGAGTGTATCTTTGAAAATATTATTTTCTCTGACCATGGTCTTTTAGTAAGTAGAGTGTGTCTCTCCCAGTCAGTTGTCTGGCAGGTTACTGGTTTCAGTTGCTGTGGAGAATAATTGCCTCTCTCTTTGAGGTGTTCCAGGGCCCTTTAATGCATGCAGCTTATATTTTAAGTTAAAGCTTCTCAAATATACACCTCAAATTCAGTGAAAATCTGAAGCAGTAGACAGCCAGAAACTTAATTTTATTTATATATTTTACATTGCAAATCCCCAAACAAACTGACTTAGCTTTTATATCTTACATTCCTAGGTGAGGTTTGGCCCATTTGGGGCCACATGTCCACTCACATGTCACCTGTATGTTATGCCCCTTTAGGCACTGTGGCAGACTCTCTAGGAAGAAGTTATGAGGCTACCACAGTTACATTGTCATCAGAATTTTTATTCTGTTGATGATTTTGAAAACACAAGTTCTGGTTTTGGACAGGACCCTATAGCAGTTCTTGACTTCTTTCCCCTACTGTTTTAAGCTCTTGGAGGACAAGAAGGAATTTTGTTTTTGTTTGTGACAAAGCCTCACTCTGTTGCACAGGCTGGAGTGCAATGGCGATATCTCAGCTTACTGCAACCTGTGCCTCACGGGTTCAAGCAATCCTTCCACCTCAGCCTCCTGAGTAGCCGGGACTACAGATGGTACACCACCATGCCCAGCTAATTTTTGTATTTTCTGTAGAGATGGTGTTTCACTATGTTTGCTTAGGCTGGTCTCGAACTCCTGGGCTCAAGTGATCTGCCTGCCCTGGCCTCCCAAAGTATTAGGATTACAGGCATGAACCACCTCTCCCAGCCAAGTTTTACTCTTTTTTTCTCACTGTATTGCCCAGGCTGGAGTACAGTGGCAAAGTTATGGCTCACTGCAACCTCGACCTCCCCAGGCTCAAGTGATCCTCCCACCTCAGCCTCCCAAGTAGCTGGGACTGCAGGCATGTGCCACCACACCTGGCTAATTTTTGTATTTTTTGTGGATATGGGTTTTCACCATGTTTGCCCAAGCTGGTCTCAAACTCCTGGGCTCAAGTGATCCACCAACCTCAGCTTTCTAACCAGCCTCCCAAAGTGTTAGGATTACAGGTGTGAGCCACTGTGCCCAGCGTGTTGCTTTTTTCCCTTGTCCCCCACTTCTAGCTTAATACTCGATAGGTAATCACCAAATGTGTTTGAATGTGTTTAATGAGAATTCCTAGTGGGCAGAAACATTATTAAGGTAAATAGATTCGGGGCAGAAAAGAGTGGGATAATCCTCCGGAGTATTGTAGGTAGTTTAGATTTGTTTACAAAATTGTTCCATTGTCTGGGACCAGTTATCATAAAGACTCTCTAGTATCACTTTTGTTTGTTGACACAGTTCCTAAGCCTGTGTTTTTTTTTTTTTCCCTTGTGTCTAAAATTCTAATTTTATTTTATTTTTTAATGTTTTTTGAAGACAGAGTCTTGCTCTGTCGCCCAGGCTGGAGTGCAGTGGCGCAATCTCACCTCACTGCAACCTCCACCTCCCGGGTTCAAGTGATTCACCTGCCTCAGCCTCCTGAGTAGCTGGGACTGCAGGTGCACGCTGCCACACCCGGCTAGTTTTTTTGTATTTTTAGTAGAGACGGAGTTTCACCGTGTTGCCCAGGCTGGTCGTGAACTCCTGAGCTCAGGCACTCTGCCAGCCTTGGCCTCCCAAAGTGCTAGGATTGCAGGTGTGAGCCACCGCGCCTGGCCTAAAATTCTCATTTTAATATATAATTTTATGGTTGCCTAAGCTTTGGGGTTTAGGGAAGAATATTCAGTATCCACGCCAATAATCATTTTTCTTTTCAGGATGTGGCTTTATTTCTCCAAGAATTTAATGCTCCTGATATATTCATGGGAGTACTGGCCAAGTCCAAGTGTCCTCGATTAAGAGTAAGTATGTACATTTCTAAAGCCGCCTTCTTTGAAGCAATAAGAACAGATAGTGCTGGATGGTCATTTGTTTTTCTCACTTTGATTTTCTTACTGAATGTAAATCAACAAATCAGCCTGTAGATGTTAATTGAACATTGCCAGGTCCTAGGTAATTTGCTATTTAAATTTTTTTAATTTTATTTTTGAGACAGGGTCTCACTATGTCTCCAAGGCTTAGAGTACAGTGGCATGAGCACAGCTCACTGCAGTCTTGACTTCCTGGGCTCAAGGGACCCACCCACCTCAGCCTCCCAAGTAACTGGGACTATAGTTGTAAGCCACCACACCCAGCTAATTTTCATTTTTATTTTGTGAAGACAGGGGTCTCCTTATATTGCTCAGGGTGGTCTTGAACTCCTGGCCTCAAGTGATCCTCCCACCTTGGCCTCCCAAAGTGCTGGGATTATAAGCATGAGCTACATGCCTGTAATAATTTAAAATATTAAATTATTAATAATTTAATAATTTAAAATATTAAATTATTAATAATTTAATAATTTAAAATATTAAATTATTAATAATTTAATAATTTAAAATTATTAGAATCATAGAATTATAGATTCAGGCTGGACCAGGGAAATTAGCACTTTCATTTAACAGCTGTGGAGACGAGTTAGACATGACCACCGTTATGCTGCTAGTATGTATCAGAGCATGGAGCAGAACCAGGGCCTCCCGTTTTTCAGTGGATTGCTCTTTTTTACTGACAAAATCCACCATTGTTTGAAAACTATTCTAAACTCAGCCTGCTGCTCAAGACTTCTACTCTCTGAACCTAACTCATCTTTCCAGCATAAAATCTGGATAACCAGCTAACCCTTCTGGTTTAGCCAGGCCTTTCTACTCCCTGTCTCAGGCTGTCTCTGTGCCTCCCTTTGGGTGCCTTCTGTCCCCTCTCAGTATTTGCATCTGTTATTCACAGTGGTACTTTTCCTTCCACACCTTCCCAAGTAAGTAAGTAAGCTTTCAGTGGTCATTGCTGTTAGTAAACTGCCAAGAACAATAGATAAAGACTAAAGGAGAGGACTTTATATACTGTACAGTGTACTGTGCTTTATTGCCAATTAAATTGCCATGTGCTGTGCATACACGGATTAGTAAATATCTGTTCAATAATTATAATTATGAAAAACTGCTGTTTACTGAATACCTGGTCTTACTACTATGAGGTATACTTTTAAAGAACTAGATCTTGGGTGAAGATATGTGTTCAGGGTCACACAACTAGGAAAGAATGGAGCTGAGATTTCAGCCTAGGCCTGACTCCAGTATAACCACTGTACTGTATTTCCTCTCTTTCAGATTATAAAATGGAGAATTCCGTAGTGTGTTGTTACAAGTTGAATGTTGAATTAAAATTCTTATTTAAGTAGAATGTTCTGTCTGAATTAGGGCCTGATTAACCATTTTTTCCTTGGTTCCTTATATTAATGTAAGATTTGACAATTGTGCTATTTTTGTACTGAGTTTTCCGTCTTAAATATATTTACTCACTACTAGTGTATAAAGAAATAAGCTTATGTCAGGAATGGCACTTTTTAGGATTTAGTCATATTGTGGTATATATCCGCTGGCCACCGTCTGCTGCCACAGTGATTCTCAGCCTTGGCTGCATGTTGGAATCACCTGGGACATGGGCTCTCAAACTTAAGCATGTCCCCGCATCACTAATCACCAAGCCCCCCTCCAGAGTTTCTAGTCCAGTAGGTCCAGAATTCCTAATATGTTCCCAGGTGGCACTGGTGCTCTGGAGCGTTGCCAGACTCTGAGAAGCTTTGCCCTGGGGAACTTTTGAAAATCTTGAGTCAGGCCATACCCTAGATGAGTTAAAGCAGAATCTCCAAGTGTGAGACTTTGGCCAGCTTTTAAAGTTCCCCAGGTGATTCCAGTGAGCAGCCAAGACAGAAAAACTTGGTCTTTGATTGGAAGTTCAGTTATTCCCTCTTTAGTTTATAAGGGAAATGTATGTGGTTTTTTCCTGCCCCTACTCACTCTTAATCTTTTCCCAACATTTGACCACCCACATTTTTTTGAAACTCCATTTCTGTAGCTCCTGTGTCATCTCACTGTCATCTCTGACCTCTTGAGTCACTCCTCTCTCACCTTTCATTGGCTTTTTTCTTTCTTCCTTTTTTATGCTGTCCCGAATATGGACTTTTTGTAAGGTGTAGGCCTGATCCTTTGCTCTCATTATATTCATTTTCCTAGTGAACTTATGTGTTTTCTGTACACCTTTAAGTTGCAACTCGCCTGTAGGAGCAAAGCCTTGACTTCCCTTCTGATAACTGATATCACATCTCCAACTTTCTTCAGGCATTCTCTGCATGCTGTACAGTTGTCCCTTGGTATACATGGGGGATGGTTGCAAGACATTCCCCCATACTGAAATCCGCACATACTCAATTCTGCAGTCAGCTCTGTGGAACCTGTGTGTATGAAAAGTCAGCTCTGCATATTATGCAGGTTTTGCATCTTGAGGACACTGTATTTTCATTCCAAGTTTGGTTAGAAAAAATCTGCCTCTAACTGGACCCACACATTGAAACCTGTGTTGTTCAAGGGTCAGCTGTGCTCTCTAACCCTGAATTGTGTATGTCCTCAGTGATTTATGGTCACGCTTATCTGATCATAAAAGTCACCTGGTATATGCTGGGTAAACAATAGCTTTCCAGGCTGTACCCTGGGAATTATAATTCAGTAGATCTGAGATGAGATTTGGAAATCTGTATTTTTAACAAGCTCCTTGAGTGATTCTTACGTTCCAGCAAGCTTGGAAACAACGTACCATCTGAACTCATTGTAGCCTTTTATGCACTTTCTTTTTCAGTTTTCCTGTCAGTGGGACCAATATCACTGACTGGGGAAATGAGGCAACTTGAAAGCTGGGAGTCAAGTTCAGCTGCTTTCTCCCTTATCCTCACATTGGATTATTTTGCTTTCACCTTGAGAGTCTTCCTCAGCTTCATCCTTTTCCATGCCTGAGGGCCCTCCTCCTCTTGCGTCTTGATAACTGTGGTGCAGTTTGGAATAGTGGTTAAATGCTCAAGCTCTGGAGCTCTGCCATGTTCTAGTTGGAGATCTCAAGATCTTAGGCAAGTAGCTTAACTTCTCTGTGCCTTAGTTTCCTCATCTGAAAAAAATGGGGATACTATTAGTACCTATCACCTAAGTTATTATATGAAATTATACACGGAAAGTGCTTAGAGTAATGCCTGGCCATAATGAGTGGTAATAAATGTTATTGCATATTAATTAACTATTACTGAGATAGATTCTTAAATTCTTTTCAACTTCTTTACCCTATGCACTAGTCTCCCCTTATCCTTGGGGGATGCATTCCAAGGCCCCCAGTGCCTAAAGCCCAGGATAGAACTGAACCCTATTTATAATATGCACAAATTTCCTTTTCCTTCTTCACAATTTCATGGATAGATTTGTTCTTAGAGATCCTAAGCAACCTCAGCATACATTTTTGTATGTTTTTCTTATGAAGTCAAGAATTTTCACCTTTTCATGTAAAGAAAGCACTTAATGGTGACTCCTTGACATATCCAAATTGCCAGCATTGCTACTCTTGTGCTTTGGGGCCATTATTAAGTAAAATAAGGTTGACATGAACACAAGCCCTGTGAGATACCATGATGGTCGATCTGATAGCCAAGATGGCTACTAAGTAACTAATGGGCAGGCAGCGTATACAGTGTGGATATGTTGAACAAAAGAATGAGTCACATCCCGGGTGAGACGGTGTAAGATTTCATCATACTACTCAGAAAGGCATGCAATTTAAAACATGAATTGTTTATTTCTGGACTTTTCCATTTAGTACTTTTATACCAAGGTTGACCATGGGTAACTGATACCATGGATAAAGAGGGGCTACACTAATACATTATGCATTTCGCCACCAGAATAATCTTTCTAAGATACTGTTTCAGTATGTTGTCTCTCCTCCTTGAGCATCTTCATGATTCCAAATAACTTCCCAGATTAAGTCTAATTCTTCAGCACGGTGTTCAGAGCCCTTAATCTCAGTCCTTTATACCTGCAGTATTTACCTCATGCTGTTCACCCACTTTGTGCCACAACCAGAGTACTTTATTGTCTACCGTCTTCGCCACGTACATGATCCCCTTCCTGCCTTTGCTGATACTGTCCCCTTATTTGAATGTCTGTCTTTTTGTTTGCGTATCTCAATACTATCAATCATTTAACACTCGTTTTATCGATAGGAGTTCTTCTTCCATAGCTCCTGCCTTTGCCCTTTCTTGTTCTTATGTCTTTCATCCCTTCTCAAATACTGTAAGCTTGTCAAGGTTAGGGTACAGGCAGTATATGTATTTCTTTATCCTGCCTCCCCTCTGCCTTACCCCAAAAGTTGGCTCAGTGGAAGTTTTTGTTCAAGTTGATATTTTTGTTTATGTCTTTCATCTCAGAGCCATTGTGACTTGTAAAATTTGATTTGGCAGGAAATCTGTGTGGGAATTTTAGGTAATATGGCCTGTTTCCAGGAGATATGTGTGTCCATCAGCAGTGATAAAAATCTTGGGTAAGTCTTGCTATATAATTATGTTTTTAAACATATTCTTTTATATCCTTAAGGAAATTCGTCTTAGGAAAAGTAGCAAATCTGAAAGACAGTCTTTTCTTTGTCTTGATGAATACTCTCTAGGAACTTCATTGTGTGTTGATGGTAGCTAGGGGCTTCTTCAGGAGGTACTGAAATAATTCAAGATTTAAACCTGTTTTCTTCAGTAGCAAAGGAACCTGAATTGTCAGCTGGTGGCAGTAAGCCAGATAGGGGAAGAACCAGTGGGACAAAACTTGGAGATGGGGCAGCCAACTGGAATCCAAAACATTTTAGGTGCAGGGAATCCAGTGACTCAGCTGGAGTCTGCAGAAACTAGATTTGTTGAATAATGTCATTCTGAGAGCTCTGACTTAGAGGATAAGACTTGCCAACAAACTAGATGATAAAGAGTTGCCTCTGTGATGAAAAGACTCAGATTTCTGCTTCGAGGCTAGTTCTCTTCTCCATGTGTAAAGTTCTGGGCAGAAGGTTTTTTAACGGAGGAAACCCAAGTTTGGTTACTGTGTTCTGAGAACACCCTGAAATTATATGCTAAATTTTGTGGGTGTATTAGTTTTCTAGGCAAAGGGTTCGTGGCTGTTCATCAGAATCTCAAAGAAATTTGTACCCAGATCGGTTAAGAAAACTGTTCTAGGCAGTTTTTGTCAGAGCTGGGGCCATGAGGGTTTTATCACAGGATGCAGGTACCTGGGTTTCTCAGAAAGAGATAACGCCTAGTTGTGGAGGGACTTTGAGATCCTAGTTCAGAGTATTTATTCCTCAGTAATTTACAGTCATCCATGGAGCAAATGACTTAGGATTATGTTTGGTCTCTATAATGTTCTCTATCAAAACTCCAGGAATGAGAAATGTTAACAAATGTTATAAATTCAAGTAAATGCTTATCTTAATATTAGTATGGTGCAAGTTATTTTGCTGATGGGATATAAATTTGTTGAACCACTTTAGAATAGTTGGGCATTATCTGGGCACGTTGGAACATATGCATGTGCTGTGACCAGCTCATGGTAAGAGAAACTGTGCACATGTGCATCAGGATAACTCTTACAAATATTATAGGAGGATTACTTGAAATAGCCCCAAATTGGAATCAACGCAAATGGCCATCAGCAGTAGTCTGGAAAAATAAATTGTGTTATTTTCACACAATGGAGTACTCTGCAGCAATCTGTCAAAGAATAACAGCTAAAGAAACAACATGGGTGGATCTTACATGTATAGTTTCCAGCAAATAAATGAAGACTCAAAAGAATAAGTATAATATAATTTATTTCATATGTTGTCTCCCCTCCTTGACCATCTTCATGAATCCGAATAACCTCCCAGATTATGTCTATTTATTCAGCATGTCCTCTTAATCATTTTAGCTGCAGTATAAAGCAACACCAAAATATATAAAATAATAAAACTATAGAGCAAAGTAAAGAAATGATTGCTGGAAAAATCAGAATGGTCATCATTTCCAGGTGGGAAAGAGAATTGTGATTTAGAATGGACACATGGTGACTACCGAGATGCAGCTCTGTTCTGTTTCTTGGAAACACGAGTGTTTGCTTTATAATTATTTATTAACTATAGATTTGTATCTTTTGGGCTTTTCTGAATACATGCTGTATTTCACAATAAAGATGTTAAAAAACTTAAATGAAAACTCGGATATTTTAAATGCGAGAAGTGAGGCATATCGGTTAACTTCTTTGTTTTTGTAGGCAGGTATTATTGCACTGTTTGTATGATTCAGACCCACCTACTCTGCTGGAAACAAGCAGGTATGCTTTTCCTTTTATGAATTCTATAAGGTTACTCATAAGAGTAGCTAAGAAAAAAAGCTAATTTTTTATTTTCGAATTTCCTTTACTGTTTTATTTTTTTTTGAAAAGTAGAAATTCAACCCACGTTTACCATGTAGGTTGTTGCTTACTTGCCTTTCCCAGGCAGAAGTGGCCAGTGTTTGGGTTGAAAGGATCCGGGAACATCCAGCGATTTATGATAGCGTTTGCTTCATTATGTCAAGTTCAACAAATGGTAAGTCATCATGTAGTCCAGAAAAAAAAATGTTTTAAATTTTATTTAATTTTTAGGAAACCATGTAACTATTTCTAGAAGTCACCTTTTTGAAAAAAGCTTTGGGTGCCAGGTAATAAAGTTTGTCAGTTTGAGACAGAATCTTGCTCTATCACCCAGGTTGGAGTGCAGTAGTGTGATCATAGCCCACTACAGCCTCAAACTCCTGGGTTCAAGGTATCCTTCTGTTAATCTCCCCAATAGCTGGGACTATCGTTGTGCACCGCCATGCTCAGCTCATTTTAAAATTTTTTGTAGAAATGGAGTCTCACTTTCTTGCCCAGGCTGGTTTCGAACTCATGTGTTCAAGCAGTCATCCAGCCTTGGCCTCCCAAAAGTGTTGGGATTACAGGTGTAAGCCACCATGCCAGCTTTTTGTTTGTTTTTTGGAGAAAGTTTTTTGATTGAAGATATAAAATTTCTTAAATTCCTGGGACACTGATGAATTCCTCATTTAAAAATGAGGAAAAATACGCAAATTTAAACATGTGAGATAAGTAAATAATCCTTTAGAATAAGTACTGCTTTGGCAAGATTTGGTTTTGTTAGAATAGCTTTAGGAATTTTGCTTAACCCTATTGCTTTTAGCAATTTGTTTTTATTTCAATATCTGTTTTATTCTCTGCAGTTGACTTGCTGGTGAAGGTGGGGGAGGTTGTAGACAAGCTCTTTGATTTGGATGAGAAACTAATGTTGGAATGGGTCAGAAATGGGGCTACTCAGCCTCTGGACCAACCCCAGGAAGAGTCTGAAGAGCAGCCAGTGTTTCGGCTCGTGCCCTGTATACTCGAAGCTGCCAAACAAGTACGGTAGGTGAGCTCTTTCGTGCAAAGTGTTCTGGGAAAATGCAATTGATAGAAGTATTCTCAGATATAAAAGTCTTCTTAGATTCCTTACAACAGAATAAAGTACACAGTCACTCCTTGTTACGTTAATGCACTACTAATATTTGTGATGCAACCTGTATGCTTTTTACAAAAATGATAGTGGTTACAAACTTCCTGTTACATTATCATTTAGCTATAGGCTGTTATTCAACATTAACTGTGGTTTCTGTCTTATCATATTTTATGTAATTTAAATCAAAGAGATAACATCATTTTCTTGTGCTTTTACATTGAACATTTAACAACTTCTTAATTAACGTTGCACATCTTTTTTTTTTTTTGCTCCTTGTGGTTATATGCCATTCTTCAATAAGTGACTGATTTTGGGACTCTGATGTCTTGTCAAGAGTGATTACTAAGCCTTACAGGTCATTAAAACTGTTTATTGCTAATCACTAGAAAATTAATTTTTAAATTGATCTGCTTAGTGATTTGCTTAGTGCATTCTTAGTGCTGAGTAAGCCACATCAAAACCTATTAATTTTGTGTCCTTTATCCAAGTGAGGATTAAATTCATCATCTTTCCCTAAACCTGCTTCATCAGTATTCTCATTCTCAGTAAATGATGTAATCACTGTCCTATTTGGATAATATAGAAGAAATGGAGAAGCCATTACAGAATCTTTCCTGCCCCAGTATTTTCCCATTGTAGTCAACTCCCAACCCTTATTCCTGACTTCTTCTGGGATTCCATCCATGCCAGTCAAGCCATTATTGTCTCTCATCTGGAGAACTGCCACATTCTTTTACTTGAATTCGCTGCCTCTATGCTTGCTTTTCCCAAGCCTAGACTTTAAAACTGTTTTTGCAAAGTACATACTCATCTCACTCTCATGCTTCAGTCTTTTCAGTTACCTTCCTTAGGATAAGGTCCAGAAAAAAACAAAAACAAACACAAATACAGCTTGGGTACTGTGTACATCACCTGGGTGATGGGACCATCCATATTACCGAACCTCAGCACCATACATGTAACAACCCCCAACATGTACCTTCTGAATCCAAAATATAAATAAATAAAATACGAGAAAAAAGAATGAAATAAATGAAAAATTCTCAGAAAAATAAAGTGCAGCTTATAGGCCCAGTAGTGCTATCCTTATTCCTTGTACTCTGCGTTTCAGTCATGTGAAGTTTGCTTCACTTCTTCAACTGAACCAGCTCTCTTGTCTCCAGGCCTTTGCACAGTATGTTTCCTCCACCTCATACACTTCTTTGCCCCTTCATGTTTCTGTGTAAACATCATTTTTCTTAAGGTACCTTCTCTGACCCTGCAAACTAAGTCTCCTTGCTGTATAGTGGCTCCTAGCCCTATAGTGTTACATTCATACCACTTTATTGTAATTACCCCGCTAGCAATCTTCTTTCCTTTTAAAGTATAAACTTTATGAAGGTAGGGATAACATCTTATGCATCTGTTTTCTCAACTCCTAACATAGTGCCTGAACTTTAATTTGTAAGTACTTAAATAAACATTTGCCAAACCATTGTTTTAATTGTTCACTGTCTTTTCACTTACTTGGTTGAAGAACTAAGATTTTGAGTTTCCAAACTGTTTAGATTTTTGAGAATCCAAATGGTTGATCATAAGAATTAGACTTATATGCTTTTAGTATTCTCAGCTAGGGGGCTAGGATAATCCTGAGACGTTTTCAGAACATCATTTTTGTTGATGCATGGTGCAGTGGACCTTACGTTCATACTATAAAAATCGCAGTCATTTTTTGTTCTGATTATTCAAGCAAACCAAAATGATAAAGTATCAACTAGCAGGTTTCTGCATTGTTGCTTTTATGAGATAGACCCAAAAAGATTTTTTTACTTCTTGTCCTGTGTGTGTTGATTATTTTATATAATGTTTATTTTTTGCTGTTTCCCCTGTTAGAATATAAAAGCTCTAACGAGCACAGAGCCTTCGTTCCTTTCCTTTGTTTTATCCTTAGCACCTTGAATAGTGGCTGGCAGAGTAATAAATATTTATTGAATGGATGAATGATTGGAATCCCCTGGACAGTAACGTTGTTGATTCAGTGCTTTTACTTTTCCTGTTTAGTTCTGAAAATCCAGAATGGCTTGATGTGTACATGCATATTTTACAACTGCTTACTACAGTAGATGATGGAATTCAAGCAATTGGTAAGATGGTTTATCGGAAGCGCTACAGTTACTCATTTAATTGTTTGCTGATTTTAAAGTACTGCTTTATTTGTTGTCTTTATTAAGTACATTGTCCTGACACTGGAAAAGACATTTGGAATTTACTTTTTGACCTGGTCTGCCATGAATTCTGCCAGTCTGATGATCCACCCATCATTCTTCAAGAACAGAAAACAGTGTTAGCCTCTGTTTTTTCAGTGTTGTCTGCCATTTATGCCTCACAGACTGAGCAAGAGTATCTAAAGATAGAAAAAGGCAAGTACAATTTCCTAGGCTCATACTGTTTTTCATTTCATTGATTTCTCCCTTTTAAAAAATGCTTTCATTTCCCTAGTTATAAAAATATGCTAAACTTCAAAAATTTATTTTATTATTGTATTTATTTACTTATTTTACTTTTTATTTATTTTTATTTTTTGGAAACAGAGTCTTGCTCTGCTGCTCAGGCTGGATTGCGGTGGTGTGATCTTGGCTCACTGTAACCTTTGCCTCCTGGGTTCAAGTGATTCTCGTGCCTCAGCCTCCCAAGTAGCTGGGATTACAGGCACACACCACTGTGCCCAGCTAATTTTTGTATTGTTTCGGTAGAGACAGCGTTTCACCATGTTGGCCAGGCTGGGCTGGAACTCCTGAGCTCAGGTGATCCACCCGCCTCGGCCTCCCAGAGTGCTGGGATTACAGGTGTGAGCCACCCCGCCTGGCCTATTTACTTATTTTAAAGACAGAGTCTTATTTTGTCGCCCAGCTGTAGTGCCATGGCAGGATCATAGCTCACTGCAACCTTGAATTCCTGGGCTCAGGTGATTGTCTCACCTCAGCCTTCTGAGTAGCTGGGACTACAGCCACATGCCACCACACCTGGCTAGTTTTTAAATTTTTTATAGAGACAGGGTCTCACAATCTTGCCCAGGCTTGTCACAAACTCCTGGGCTCAAATGACCCTCCTGCCTTGCCTTCCAGAGTGCTGGGATTACAGGCATGAGCCTCTACACCTTACCTAAAAACTTATAAAAAATATCAAGGAAACATGATGTCTGTAATCTTATCATCCAACACATGCACATATATTTAATTCTGCTTTTTAGCCAACATTTCATTTAGAAATATAAAATGAATATTTTCGTATGTAAACACATAGTCTTTCACAGAATGATTTTTATGACCACAATTAAATTCATGATTCATTTAGAATTTATTCTGGTGTCACATGTGAAGTGTGGCTTTAATTCTTTTTTCCCCCTTTGATAACTTTGGTACTAGTGGTATCAATTTTTTTTCCAGAGGGCTACCCAGTTGTCTCAACATCGTTTAGTCAGTAATCCAGCTTACCCACACTGATTTGAAATTTCATCATTATTTTAAAAATTCCCCTATATATTCTATTCAGTTCCATTACTATGTTCATATATTAGTAGCCATAGTGTTTTTAAATATTAAGGTTTTATGTTTTAATACTTAATAAGGCGAATTCCTCTTCATTCTAAGTTTTCAGAATGTTTTTAACTATTCTTATCACTAACTTTAAGTTCCAAAAACAAAAACTTTCTGATATTTTTATTGATATGGTGTTAACTTTATAGAATATCTAAGAATATGTTATGCCCTTTCATTTGTTCAGGTCTTTTGTGTGTCCCTCAGTAATGGTTTCTTCATATAGATCTTGGATATTTCTTATTAGTTTCATTCCTAGATATTTTATCTTTTGGGTTTACTATTGTCTATGACATATTTTCTTCCACTGATTATTGTTGTTGGAATATATGAAGGCTATTGATTTCTGTATATTAACTTTGCATCCTGTAACCTTACCAAATTCTTACTGTTTTTAGTAGTCGTTCCAGTAATAATCTTTGGGCTTTATGTGATAGTGCTTTGGCTTAAATTAGATATATTTTATCACTTGTCTATCTCTGGTTTATTCTTCTTATCTTTCTGTCTTGCCTAGAATCTCTGGTGTAAAATAATAGTGATGGTAGAAAACATCCTTACCTTCTTCCTGATTTTATTAGAAATAATCCTAGAGTTCCACTGTTAAGCATTATTGGGTATAAGATACATGTTTTACAACCAGGTGTGGTGTCTCACACCTATAATCCCAGCACTTTGGGTGGCTGAGGTGGGCAGATTACCTGAGGTCAGGAGTTCAAAGTCAGCCTGGCCAACATGGTGAAACCCTGTCTCTGCTAAAAATACAAAAATTAGCCAGGTTTGGTGGCATGCGCCTGTAATCTCAGCTACTCGGAAGGCTGAGGCAGGAGATTTGCTTGAACCTGGGAGGCGGAGGCTGCAGTGAGTCGAAATGACGCCTTTGCACTCCAGCCTGGGCAACAGAACAAGACTCTGCACCCCCTTGCCCCCCTAAAAATAAGATATATGTCTTACCATTTAAGGAAATATTAATCTGTTTCTATTTTATTAAGACTTTTTAATAAAAAAAGAATGTTGAATATTTTTAAGATCTTCATTTATAAATATGTTACCTCATTGAGAAGGTGGCATTGAGTACAGTCCTTAGGGAGAGAATGGAGGAGTCATGTGCATACTTGGGGAGAAGAACATTCCAGACAGAGGGAATAGAAAGTGTAAAAGCCCTCAACCAGAAGTATGCCTGGTATATTTGAGGGGGAGCAGTGAGATCCCATGTGGCTGGGGTGGATTTAGCAAAGTAGCACATGGAGCCAAAGAGGTAGAGTATGGAGGGCCTAATTTTGCCTTTTCCTCTAAATGAGGTGGGGAATCATGGTGAGTTTTAAGCAGAAGTTGAATACACATGAGCTGACTTTAATAGGCTGCTGTTTTGATGAGAAATGTAGGAGTCATTGGTACAAAAGGGAGATGAGTTAGGAGGCTTTTAGAGATTCTTGATAATTAACTCATAGCAAGAAATGTTATAACTTGGACCAAGATGTTAACAGTGGTAGTGGTAGAAAAATCCCGTGAGCTAATTTTTGTATACTTTTTATAAAGACACGGTTTCGCCATGTTGCTCAGGCTGGTCTCGAACTCCTGGGCTCAAGCTACCCGCCCATCTTGGCCTCTCAAAGTGCTGAGATTGTAAGTGTGAGCTACCACCCCTGGCCTCCTAGGCTCATTTGATTGCTGAGTCTTCATTGCTTTAGTTCTCAACTCAATGTCACCTTGCCAGAGAGCTTGCCCTGCTAGACTGCTATATTCCTCTTTTATTTCCTTCACAGAACCTAACCAAAACCTAAAATAGTCTGTTATATTTACTTATTTGAAAGTATAAAAATGTAAGCCTCTTACAGGCTGACATCTTGCTGATGTTACCACTGTATCTGTAGTACCCAAAATAATAATGTCTAGCACTAATTCAATACATATGAATGAAAAACCAAACTTAACTGGCCAATTCAATGTTTCTTGATTTGTTTATACAGTAGATCTTCCTCTAATTGACAGCCTCATTCGGGTCTTACAAAATATGGAACAGTGTCAGAAAAAACCAGAGAACTCGACAGAGTCTAACACAGAAGAAACTAAAAAGACTGATTTAACCCAAGATGATTTCCACTTGAAAATCTTAAAGGATATTTTATGTGAATTTCTTTCTAATATTTTTCAGGCATTAACAAAGGTAGGAAAGAAGTATTGATGATGTCATGAACAAAAGAAAGTGTGGGTTGCTTAACTCTCCAACTTTATTACTGTTTTTTTAATATGAAAGTAATATATTTTTGGGGAAAATAAAGTAAAATCTTAATATCACCATGAGTTTATAATCTTAAAAACCGCTAGCTGATGTGGTTTGGTATATTTATGTATGACAAACATATGCATATGTTTGCATGCATGTATTTTTATAAATGCATTTTTCCTATACTTTAACCCAGCATATGCAATTTTTATAGACTACTGTTTTCCCTTAACACTATATTATAAGCATTTTTCTTGATTCTAGATGAAAGACTTTTTGCTGAGAGCCAGTTTAAACCTAATTTACCAAATAATCAGTTTTCAAAATTTACTGCAAACTTCTCTTAAGGAATATTCTCCCTGAATATGTTCAGTGGCTATTAACATTCCTCCTTTGACCATATTTTTTTCTATCCATATATTTGGAAAGAAATATATTATGAATATGTTATGAATATATTGTATTATGAATATAAAATGCTACAAATATAGCTGTGAGTAATATATTTATTCATACCCACTGAATTTTTTAAAGAGTATTCCTTAAGAAGTTTCTCTTGGCCAGGTGCCCATAATCCCAGCACTTGGGAGGCTGAGGCAAGTGGATCACTTGAGCCCAGGAGTTTGAGACCAGTTTGGGCAACATGGCAAAACCTCATCTCTACAAAAAATACAAAAATTAGCCGGGTATGGTGGCACATGCCTGTGATCCCAGCTACTTGGGAGGCAGGGATGGAAGGATTGCACTCCAACCTGAGTGACAAAGTGAGACCCTATCTCAAAAAACAAAATGAAACAAAAGGTTTCTCTTATTCTGGTAATTTTTTTTAATTAGTTGTCTTGCTTCCCTTTTCCCTATTTGTATTTTCCAGATTTGGGGTTATTACCTCAGCAGGTTTTACAGAATTTAAATTACTGGATTCAACATTATAAATGTGAAGATGGCTAAGGCATAATGGCCATATTTTGTCAAAATACTATTTACATGTGAAATGTTGGTTTTTACTTGACCCTTATTATTGGCTATTATAATTTTTATGTCAAAGTTCAGGTAATAAATTGTGTCTTATTTTGATTTGCATTTTTAAATTAATGAGATTGAAATATTTGGATGTCGTGTATTTTGTTTCCTACTTTTTTATAATTTATCCATTTTGATTATAAATTTATCCATTTATAATTTATCCATTTGATTTAATTGGATAATTTTTAATTATTGGATAATTTAATTATTAATTGGATAATTAATTGGATAATAATTTTTAATTATCCAATTAAAAATTTATCCTTTTTTATAATTTATCCATTTGTATGAATTTCTTGGGTAATAATGCATCTTTTCCATATTTATCACATGTATTTTTTCCCATTCTTTGCTGTTGCTTTTGTTTTTTGGAGCACCTACTTTTAAGTGGTAGGAACATCAAAGAAAGGTGAGCTGAGGATACACTAGGGCTATGTCATGCAAATTTTTATATGCCATGTTTAGGGGATTTGGACTTAATCTTGAAGAAACTGAGGAGCTACTAAAGATTTTTTTTCTTTTAAGCACCAGGTGATATGATCAGTTTAGAAAGATTACTCCAAAAGCAATAGAGAGGAAGGAGTAGAGAGTTGAGGCTGGAGGGCAGGAGATCAACTAACAGGCTCTTGTGGTTGGTAATCTTCAAGAATAATCTGAAAAAGGATGGCAGCCTAAACAATGGAAGTTTGAATGGAGAGGAGGGATGGGGTAAGAGAGATTTGGTAGAATAGAATTGAGCACTTGCCGGGAGGGGTCAGCAGGAGAGGGGAGGGAAAAGTCTTCACTGTGTTCCAAGTTTGTATTCTGTGTAGCAGGGTGGATGGTGGTGTCCTTCACTAAAATAAAGACGACAGTGGAGAACACGTTTGGGTTACATAAGCCTCCTTGATGTCGGTGGGTTCAGTTGGGACATTTGAAATGCCTATGAAGTCAGGAGGAAATTGAATATCCTAATTTGTTTTTATTCACTAGTTAAAGCTTGAAAAAATTTCCCTTTTTTGACATTAAATGTTGTTGTTTTAGGAGACGGTGGCTCAGGGAGTAAAGGAAGGCCAATTGAGCAAACAGAAGTGTTCCTCTGCATTTCAAAACCTTCTTCCTTTCTATAGCCCTGTGGTGAGTATGGGTAAATGTATAGGCGGCCAAGTTTTGTAGGGTTACTAAATGTTTTCAAGTAAGCACTTGATTTCGAGGTCATTGTCAAAAATTATAGTATATACAATTTATATGACTTAATGCCTTTGTCAGATAGATGACTGCTGGAAACAGAAAACCAAATACCATATGTTCTCATTTAGAAGTGGGAGCTAAAACCATTGGATACCATGGACATAAAAATGGGAAAAGTAGACACTGGGGACTACAGGAGGAGGGGGAAAAAGAGAGGGAGGGCAAGGGCTGAAAAACTACCTATTGGGTACTAAGCTCACTGCCTGGGTGACAGGTTCATCTGTGCCTCAAACTTCAGCATCATGTGATATACCTTTGTACCAAACCTGCACATGTAGACATTTAGATCCCCCTGAGTCTACAATAAAGGTTGGGGGAAAAAAGGATGACTACTGGAAAATTTGTACTACTATTGGGAGTAACAATTCTAAGAGGAAAAATTCAGCTCTGAATCTATAGTACTCCTTTCTGTTATGAAGTAGGTAGCATCTGTATTAAACCAAAATCAGATTCTTGGGAATAGGCAGTAGGTTTTTATGGTTCTTCAAATGACATCACATTTCCTAAACCATTAGAATCAGATTTCACAATAAGAACTTTTTCGGGAAAATGAAGGACAGAATGTGGGAACAGACTGTAAAGAGGAGGCAGGGGGAGAAGTACTAGCTTAAGAGTAGAACGGAATGGGAAAGAATAGTCATTTCCTTGAGAATGATTTAGAAGACTGCTTAGGAAGTACTGTTACTGTCATCTGGAGATCTGCCAGCATTTCTTTTCCATTGGACCCTTTAGAAACCACAGGTAGAGCAATCAGTACCTTAAACCACGTTTTTCTCTTCTGTTTGATTTTGTTTGTTTGACTCATAGGTGGAAGATTTTATTAAAATCCTACATGAAGTTGATAAGGCGCTTGCTGATGACTTGGAAAAAAGCTTCCCAAGTTTGAAGGTTCAGACTTAAAACCTGAATTGGAATTACTTCTGCATAAGAAATAAACTTTATTTTTCTCACTGACAGTTGAAATTGACTTATTGGAAATATTAGCTAAAGCCCTATTAGACCGTAATTGTCTGGTGTTACATTTTTCTGTCCTAGACTCGTCTCACTTTTTTTGACTTTGGAATCTGGAGTTTCACCCCTGTCACCCCTCTTTTTATAGTATGTGATATTTATCATTCTCAGTTGAGGAAAACAAAAATGTAAGCTTATCATTGAGGTTCTTTTTAGGATATGTGAGAGATCAGTGTCGATTTTCTTCCTAGCTGTTAATTTGGTTTTTGTTTTGTTTTGTTTTGTTTTGTTTTTTGAGATGGAGTCTCACTCTGTTGCTCAGGCTAGAGTGCAGTGGTGTGATCTCGACTCACTGCAAGCTCCACCTCCTGGGTTGACGCCATTTTCCTGCCTCAGTCTCCTGAGTAGCTGGGACCACAGGTGCCCGCCACCACACCCGGCTGATTTTTTGTATTTTTAGTAGAGACAGAGTTTCACCATGTTAGCCAGGATAGTCTCTATCTGCTGACCTTGTGATCTCCCAAAAGTGCTGGGATTACAGGCATGAGCCACTGTGCCCGGCCTAATTAGATTTTTTTAAGTGAGAATTACGTCTTTGTATCCACTGTAAGTATATTCAGCCACAGTAACAGAAACCCTCCTGTCGTAGCTGAATCTGATCTCTCTCAGGAACCTTATGCAAAAATCCAGATGTGATGAGGTGGCTCCTTTCACCCTTCACATGGTCTGCCAGGTGGACCTTTGTGTTCATGTTTATTGTCTTGTGGTTAAGGGGGCTGTGCCATCTCTGGGCCTTTATCCACATTCAGGAAGGAAAAGGGAGAGAAGGGGCTTTTTCCTACCAAGTCTTTACGTGTGTTTGGCTGGGTGAGGAGGTGCTTTTTAATAGATTTTAAGAAAATATCTGTTATGAATAACAAAGCCAGCTTTCTAAACCTCACTTTTGGTATAGCCTCTTCCCAATTTTTATCAGTTTTTTGGTTTTAAAGCATTGGTCTTGCCTCATACTTTGTTTTCTTTCCTTGAGAGGTTTTTGGTGATAAAACATAGAATAATCTTATTGATAAGAGATAATACAATTTCCAGTTTGGAGGTAGGTTTATGGTTGGAAGTGTCACTGCTGAAAAGAACTGGAATATAAATCTTAGCAGGTGAAATCTCATTGGTAGGTTTATATATACTACACTGTATATGCATATTTGCATGTCCTCGGTGCTGACCTTATTGGTAGGCTGAATTGACTATGTTCAACATGAGATTTGAAAGACACTGATGAAATCACTCCTACCTGCTAGCTGACATGAAAATTCCACTCGGTTTTTTTTTTTACAGAACCTCCTGCGTAGCTGAATCTGATCTCTCAGAACCTTATGCAAAAATCCAGAGGCTCACCCTTCACATGGTCTGCCAGGTGGACCTTTGTGTTCATGTCGTTTATTGTCTTGTTAGCTGTGCTCTTCTGGGCCTTTATCCATTCAGGAAGGAAAAGGGAGAGAAGGGCTCACAAGTCTTTACGTGTCATTGGGTGAGGAGGTGCTTTAACAGATTTTAAGAAAATATCTGTTAAGAATAAAAGTCTTCAGCTTTCAACCTCACTTTTGGTAGGGCTGCTCCTCCCAACTCTCACCAGCCTCGGCCCTTTTTTGTGGCTGTCTTGTTTCATACTTTTTGTTTTTTCCTTGAGAGGAGAGTTTTGTGATAAATATAGACACGGAGAGGAGAGGAGGCTATACTCGGCGAGAGGAGGCGAGGGAGCAGGGAGCACAGGAGGGCAGACCCAAGAGGGACGGGGATGGGCAGTGAGGAGAGGGCGGATGAGAGGAGAGCGAGGTCCCTGTGCTGACCTGCTGGCAGGCCGAACTGACTATGCCCGCCCATGAGACGGAAAGACACTGATGAAATCACTCCTACCTGCTAGCTGACATGAAAATTCCACTTCGTTTTTTTTTTTTTAAGTTTGCTAAGATGCAACAATAACATTAAAAGTAATACTTGATATTATTAGTTATGTTTACCTGTGCATATGAATTTCACATTTTTTCCTGAGTATATGTTTGTTTGTTCAGCCACCGCGCCCAGCTAATTTTTTTTTTTTTTTTTTTTTTTTTTTTGAGATGGGGTCTCGCTCTGTCGCCCAGGCTGGAGTGCAGTGGCATGATCTCCGCTCACTGCAAGCCCCGCCTCCCGGGTTCACGCCATTCTCCTGCCTCAGCCTCCCGAGTAGCTGGGAGTACAGGCACCTGCCACCTCACCCAGCTAATTTTTTTTGTATTTTTAGTAGAGACGGGGTTTCACCATGTTATCCAGGATGGTCTTCATCTCCTGACCTCGTAATCCACCTGCCTCAGCCTCGCAAAGTGCTGGGATTACAGGCGTGAGCCACCGCGCCCAGCCTTCTGCGAGCATGGTTTAAAAGGGGAAGCACAAGGACCTTATGTACCTGAAGGAGTGTTCCACAAAAATGGTAAATTACAGAGGAAGAAGGAGAAAGAGGATAGTAGTGGGAAGGCTAGGAGTGTCCAATTTATTTTCTGCTCATATTTCTGCCTTGGACCTACGCTGTTTACTTTGTTACTTATTTATTGTTAACATTTTGAGTTTTGGTACATATTTTCATAGTACTTTGGTATGTTTGAAAACATCCTCTATCTATAAATTATACTTTTAAGTGACCAGTGTTAAAGCATTTTTAATGCTACATGTTCTGAAGTATTCACTCACAAGATTTAGTGCTTGGATCAGTTGCAGTGATATTTTGAAATGGTGCTTTCTCCAGAACCATAAATATGGAATTTTATACACAAATGAAATTATATACAAATATGAAATGGAAACTTATTTTTTTCCCTATACTCTTTGGCAGGGAAGAGGAAAAATGCAAAATGAGCTTGAGTTAGCATTTGTTATGTTGAGTTTGATATTTCAAGTACCTAAACCACTAAGAAAGAAGACATGGTTTCCTTCCACTGTGTTTTTTTTTTTTTTTTTTGAGATATTTTATCCCCTACAGCAAATGGGATATAGCTAAACTGTTGTTTTCTTGGTAGGTTCATTTTTCCAGATCAAAAGAATTTTCCCACTCTATCTTTAATATTTCCTATTGCCTTGCTTTGAATTAGTTACTGAATAATTTTAGTATGTAAGTGGGAAAAAGTTTAAGAGCCACCTCTCCGCCTGATGTACTTTTTTTTGGTGAAGCACATGTAGAAACCGACTATAAACATTAAAAAATAACCTCTGTTAGGGGTTCAGAAAATCTTAAGTGTATGAAATATTGAATGCCATTATCTGTTCTTCAGGACTGGGCAATAGTGATGCTATGTCTGAGCTGGCTGTGAAGCTGATCTATAACTCTAGTATTTTGTTTTCTGCAACTAATACTCTTTTTTAACTAATATTCTTTATGACCTAATCAATAGCCTTTTTTAAAAAGAAGAAATAGGTCCGTATTAATTTAGGACTGAATTATTTATTCTGCTTGAGCATGTGTTCTCTTTTACCACTTTGCAACTTCAGTTTCCTCCATGCTCCTGTCAGAAGTTTTAAGAAAGGGAAAACAGGCAAATGGCCCTCTTGACCATACCATATTTTTCTTCTTTTTTTTTTGGACATATGAGTCTCACTATATTCTTGCTAAGACTGGTCTCAAACTCCTGCCTGAGCTGAAGCGATCCTCCTGCCTCAGCATCCTGAATAGAACATTTTTTTCTTTTTGTTGCTGGTTTGAGATCCAATCCAAGAACGATTATTAAAAGTTATATATTTATAGTGAAATAGTATGATGTCTTGGATTTGCTTCAAATTAGTCTGGGGCAAAGGGAAAGAAGTAAGTTGATGGAGTAGATGAAACAAGACTGGCTGTGAATTGGAGTTGCTGAAACTGGGTGACAATTACATGGGGTTACATTATACTGTTTTTTGTTTTTTGGTTTTTTTTTTTCAGAGACAGGGTCTTGCTCTGTTGCCCAGGCCAGAGTTCAGTGGCATACTCATAGGTTACTGCAGCCTCAAACTCCTGGGCTAAAGCCATCCTTCCATCTCATGCTCCTAAATAGCTGGGACTATGGGTGCATGCCACCATGCCCAGCTAATTTTTGTTTATTTGTTCATTTTTATTTTATTTTATTTTATTTTATTTTATTTTATTTTATTTTTATTTTTATTTTTATTTTATTTTTTTATGAGATAGAGTCTCACTCTGTTGCCCAGGCTGGACTGCAGTGGTGCGATCTTGGCTCACTGCAACCTCCTCCTCCCAGGTTCAAGCGATTCTCCTGCTTCAGCCTCCTGAGTAGCTGGGATTATAGGCATGCACCACCACACCTGGCTAATTTTGTGGGTTTTCTTTTTCTTTTCTTTTCTTTCTTTCTTTTTTTTTTTTTTCTGAGATGGAGTCTTGCTCTGTCACCAAGGCTGGAGTGCAGTGGTGCCATCTCGGCTCACTGCAACCTCCACCTCCTGGGTTCAAGCGATTCTCCTGCCTCAGCCTCCTGAGTAGCTGGGATTACAGGCATGCACCACCATACCTGGTTAATTTTGTGTTTTTTTGTTTTGGTTTTGGTTTTTGGTTTTTGAGACAGAGTCTCACTCTGTCACCTAGGCTGGAGTGCAGAGGTGCGATCTCGGCTCACTGCAACCTCCACCTCCTGGGTTCAAGCGATTCTTCTACCTCAGCTTCCTGAGAGTAGCTGGGATTACAAGCTCATGCCAACACGCCCGGCTAAGTTTGGTATTTTTAGTAGAAACGTGGTTTCACCATGTTGGTCAAACTGGTCTCAAACTCCTGACCTCGTGATCCTCCCACCTCTGCCTCCCAAAGTGCTAGGATTACAGGTGTGAGCCACCGTGCCCTGCCCAGCTAATTTTTATAGTTTTAGTAGAGACGGGGTTTTACCATGTTGGCCAGCCTGGTCTGAAACTCTTGGCCTCAGGTGATCCACCCGCTTTGGCCTCCCAACAGGCTGGGATTACAGGTGTGATTCACCGCACCTGGCCTATTTATTTT